CCAGGCTGGAGTGCAGTGGCACAATTTGAGCTCTTTGGTTCAAGTGATTCTCTTGCCTCAGCCTCCTGAGCAGCTGGGATCACAGGCATGAGCCACCACGCCTGGCTAATTTTTTTGTTTGTTTAGTAGAGACCGGGTTTTGCTAGGTTGGCCAGGCTAGTCTCAAACTCATGACCTCAGGTGATCTACTTGCCTTGGCCTCCTAAAGTGCAGGGATTACAGGTTTGAGCCACCATGCCCGGCTGTTTTCTCCTTTTTTTTTTTGAGATGGAGTTTCGCTCTTGTTACCCAGGCTGGAGTGCAATGGTGCGATCTCGGCTCATTGTAACCTCCGCCTCCTGGGTTCAGGCAATTCTCCTGCCTCAGCCTCCTGAGTAGCTGGGATTACAGGCACGCGCCACCATGCCCAGCTGGTTTTTTGTATTTTTCTTAGAGATGGGGTTTCATCATGTTAACCAGGATGGTCTTGATCTCTTGACCTCATGATCCACCCGCCTCAGCCTCCCAAAGTGCTGGGATTACAGGCTTGAGCCACCGCGCCCAGCCATGTTTTCTCCTTTTTTTTCTTTTTGAGACAGAGTCTTGCTCTATCGCCCCGGCTGGAGTGTAGTGGTGTGATCTTAGCTCACTGCAACCTCTACCTCCTGGACTCAAGCAATCCTCTGTGTAGCTAGGGCTACAGGCATGCATCATGTCACCCAGCTAAGTTTTGTATTTTTTGTAGAGACAGGGTTTTGTCATGTTTCCCAGGCTGATCTCGAACTCCTGTGCTCAAGAAATATCTGCCTGCCTCTCCCTCCCAAAATGCTGGAATTACAGGCAGGAGTCACCACTGTGCCCAGCCCTGATGAGAACTTCTCTATCAGGTGGAGGAAGCTGACTCTGCCCAACTTAATCAGAAACCCAGTTTATGAAAAGGAACTGTAGAGCCCTTGGAGCCAACAAGGCGTCTGGAAAACAAGGTTCCCAGTTTAGGCAGTATCAGCTCCAGCCCAAAACACAGTGCTACTTCAGCCTGGTGAGCATGCCACTGCTGCTGCCATGAGGGGTGAGCAGGGGCCTTTGTGACTCACACACCCTGCCCACAGGTGCAGACGCACGCTGCTGGCACGACTGCTGCAGCCCTCCATCAAAGCTGGTCGCCAGTGCCCCCGACTCCAGGGAGACTACCTTATATGATTGGGCCTACGGCAAAAGCCCTTGCCCTGGGGCAAAGGAATCGGAAAACGATAATATTTAGTATGTTCCTCCCTGATGTGGAGGAAAGGGGACCAGGTGCTGGATGAAGAGGAATAGCAAGGGTCCTTGAGCAAGCGTTCTACTGCAGAACTCACCAATCCAACTGCAGAACTCACCAACAGGCCCTGCGGTCAGTTCTGGGGCTGGGTTGATGGCCTCATCCTCACCTGGTCACTCTCACCCTGGGCTTTTCAGTGGGTGCTGCTTTGCCCCAGCAGCCCCATGCAGAGTTCTCACCTACATACTGTACCTAAGATCCCAGAAGAAAACAGTCATTCCTATCAAACTGGGTATTTGAGGAGAGTTTAATAAAAGTGCTGTTGCTCTTTGGGAGGCTGAGGTGGGTGGATCACTTGAGCCCAGGAGTTGGAGACCAGCCTGGGCAACATGGCAAAACTCCACCTCTACGAAAAATACAAAACTTAGCTGAGCATGGCTGGGTGCACTGGCTCACGCCTATAATCCCAGCATTTTGGGAGGTCGAGGCGGGCGGATAATAAAGTCAGGAGATAGAGACCCCCTGGCCAACATGGTGAAACCCCATCTCTACTGAAATACAAAAATTAGTGGGAGTGGTCGCAGGTGCCTGTAATCCCAGCCAGCTACTCAGGAGGCTGAGGCAGGAGAATCGCTTGAACCTGGGAAGCAGAGGTTGCAGTGAGCTGAGATCACACCACTGCATTCCAGCCTGGGTGACAGAGCAAGACTCTGTCTCAAAGAAAAAAAAAAAAAAAAAAATTAGCTGAGCGTGGTGGTGAGCACCTGTATTCCCAGCTACTCCAAAGGCTGAGGTGGGAGGATCTCCTGAGCCTGCGGAAACTAAGGCTGCAGTGAGCCGTGACTATACTCCAGCCTGGGTGACAGAGTGAGACCCGTTCTCAAACAACAACAACAACAACAACAACAACAACAACAACAACAACAACGTGCTGTTTACAGAGCTGCAGGTAGGTTTGGGGAGCCACCCAGCCTGGGTACAGCATCTGGGCCAAGTTTGGTTTCTGCCTTGGAGGGACCACTTTCCCCAGGCAACTTGTATTTCCAAGCTTTGCAGGCCTGACCCACAGAAAATGCCTGACACATGGGTACCTGCCTGTGAGATGCATGATTGTGATCTCCAGGCCCCTGAGATAATCCCAGCCCGCCTTTCTCCTGCCCACGCACAGCCCTGGGTGGGGCCCGAAGCACCCACCAAGCTCAACCATGAGCTGTGGGCAGGTAAGGGGGTGTGGGAGAGCCATAGACCAAAAAGGCAGAGAGCAAGAGGCCAGGTGAGAGGCCCCTAAAGGATCTAGGGGTTGGGGCAGCAGAGTCGAGAGGCCAAAGGTAGGCAATGGCAATGGACGGTGGGAAAGAACAATTTCTTTTCTTTTTTTTTTTGAAACGCAGTCTTCCTTTGTCGCCATTCGGAGTGCAGTGGTTCGATCTCAGCTCACCGCAACCTCCGCCTCCTGGGTTAAAGCAATTCTCCTGCCTCAGTCTCCCAAGTACCTGGGATTACAGACATACGCCACCATGCCCACCTAATTTTGTATTTTTATTAAAGACAGGGTTTCTCCATTTTGGCCAGACTGGTCTCGAACTCCCAAACTCAGGTGATCCACCTGCTTTGTCCTTCCAAAATGCTGGGATTACAGGCGTGACCCACCGCGCCCTGCCTTTTTTTTTTCTTCTTATTTTGAGATAAGTTCTTGCTCGGTTGCCCAAACTGGAGTGCAGTGACACAATCATAACTCACTGCAACCTTCATCTCCTGGGCCCAAATGATTCTCCCACCTCAGCCTCCCAAGCAGCTGAGACCACAGGTATGTGCCACCACACCCAGGTAATTTTAAATTTTTCTGTAGACGCCGGGTGTGGTGGCTCATGCCTGTAATCCCAGCACTTTGGTAGTCCAAGGAGGGCTGATCAGGAGGTCATGAGATGGAGACCATCCTGGCCAACATGGTGAAATACCGTCTCTACTAAAAATACAAAAATCAGCTGGGCTCGGTGGTGCGCGCCTGTAGTCCCAGCTACCCAGGAAGCTGAGGCAGGAGAATCTCTTGAACCTGGGAGGCGGAGGTTGCAGTGAGCTTAGATTGCTCCACTGCACTCCAGCCTGGGCTACAGTGAGACTCTGTCTAAAAAAAAAAAAAAAAAAATTCTGTAGAGATGGGATCTCCTTATGTCGTCCAGGCTTAGGACAACTCTTAGGAGCTTGGCTGGGGGCAGGAACTGGAAAACCAAGGGACGAGAAACCAAGCTTGTGGATGGTGCAAGCTTACGGAGGCAGAGGGCCAGGCACCCAGGGCATGGAACACAGGATGGCTCTAGAGCTGGACATGAGGGGTGTGCAGTGGCCATTCTGCAGAAGGGGGACCCGGGCTGTACGCAGCTTTGGAGAGTGGAGCTCAGGAGGCAGAGGTGGGATAATAAGGCTGGGCTGCCAAGGAGGATATGACTCCAGTCCTTCACTAAGACTCTCCCAGAGTTCACCCTGCCTGGGGACAGTCATAGCCCTGCCACCCACATGTGTGCTGAACACGGTGAGTCTTAAGCCCTTCTTGGCCGGGAGGCGATGGGGGCTTATTGGAGACCCAGGCCTACCTCTCCCTGTTCTAACATCCCAACCTGGGAGATTCCTGGGAACATCCCAGATTGTCCCCTTGGGTTTTTCTTTGTCCACAGTGATGTCTCCACCTTTAGGTGAGAAATACATGGTGGCACACAGGGTGCACAACCTGGCCTGGGTGCCCCATTAGTGTGACATTTCATGTTTTCTGTCTGGAGTGCAATGTTCTAATTGTGCCAGGTGCAGAGCAGGGGTGGGTCATGAACTCTGGGCATAAAAGGAAGAATGACCCAACTTCCTGGTTCTGCCTGGACCCTTGCCCCGCAGTGAGGGGGCGTTGGCAGCCCCAGAACCCTGTGCGGGAAGTCGGCCTGGCTGTGCCCTGGGAGCTGCCAGTTTCCAGCTCAGTCCTGGCCCACTGCGCCAGTGCTGAGCCTGCATCTCACAGGCATGTGCCCATGTGTGCAGGGTTGGGGCTGAGGATCACCTTGGGATGAGGATGTCAAGATGGGGGCAAGAGATCGAGTGTACTCTGATCTGGGGGCTGGGCTTGCAGAATGGAACCGGCAGGGCATTTGTGGAGTGTCTACTTAGTACGAAGGTCTGCGCTGGGCCCTGTCCCCGCACCTCAGGTGGTCCTCAGGTAGTCCTCAGGTAGTCCTCGGGCGAGTGTGGATCCGCCGGGATCACGCTGGGAGGGATGGGCTGTGGCTGCCCCCAGCCCACACAGTAGGCGCTCAGTGTCACGGTGCACATTCCTGGGGAGGCCCTCCGAGCCCAAAGGCTGGGGGCCGCCCTGCACCCTCCCAAGCATCCGGTGAGCAAAAGGCAACTCTGTGCATCGCCCCGGCGCCTGTCCGCGTCCGGGAAATGGGTCCTAAGTTTTCGCGCAGATGCCCGGTGCTGAGCTGGCCCCGAGCCTGGGAGGGATGTCGGCTTCCTTCCCTTCCAGCCCCCAATCACCCTCCTTCCCTTCCTCTCCATCCTCCCCTCCTCCCTCCCTCTCCTTCCTCCCCTCCCCTCCCCCTCCCCTTTCCCCTTCCCCCTCCCCCCTCCTCCCTCCCCCCTCCTCCCTCCCCCTCCTCCCTCCCCTCCATCTTCCTCCTCCCTCTCCCTCTCCCCTTCCTCCTCCCCCAATCCTTCTCCTCTGCCCTCCGCCCCCTCCCGGGCGGGGGTTCCGGGAACCGGTCGGGCCGGGGCGGGGCGAGGGAGGGGAGCGGCCGCGCGGGTCGCTGAGGCTGTGGCGGCTCCGCGCCCCGCACTCGCGTCCGTCTGTCTGTCCGCCCTGCCATGGCCGCGCCGGCCCCAGCACCGCGGGTCCTGTTGCTGTTGCTGCTGCTGCTACCGCCGCCTCCGGGTGGTGAGCCTCGGGGTGGGGGCGGCCCGTTCTGCCCTGGGACCCGGCAGACACTTCCCCGCGCTGCCGCTCCAACCAGCCGGGCAGCACCAGCCCTGCCGTGCCCCTCACCGACCCCTAATTGCCCCGAGGCCGTCAGCGAACCCCCCACGACTACGGACCTCTCCTCTTCCCCGGCATCCTCCTTGCCTGAACAACCCTGCCCCGACCCCAGACAGTTGCCACCCTTGTCTGTCCTGGAACGGTGGGGAGGAGTCTGCCCTCCAGTCCCTGTCCCTGGGGATGGGGTCCCCAGAGGCTGCGGTAGGATTCCCCCTGCCTGGCTTTTGTTTGGCCGGGGGCTGCAGGGCGGCCTGGCCCCTCCATCAGAGGCCGTTCCTCTTTGCCTCTGTTTCGTGTCTGGGAGCCCCCACCGTTGCCTCCTTGGGCTCTTGTGTTCCTGGAGAGCCCGATGCTGAGGCTGGCGTCAGGGGTGGAGACACCGCTGTGCGTGTTGGTTGCAGATCGGTGATTCACAGACTCTGGAAGGCTGGCTGGGGGCCCTTTAGGGGTAGGAACTGGAACAACCGCCTTCCCACCCTTTGGAGTGGGTGGCTTCCTGGAAGGGAAGGCTCTGTTTCCTGAGTGCTGGGATGAATCCGGAGGACCTGGGCTAGAGAACGTAGAAAGGGGACACCTGTGCCCAGAACCCGCCCACCCCTGGAGTGGGCCTGTAGGAGGGTCACTGATTCAGTGAGGTCTGGGGGTCAGAGAGCATTTGTGCCATAAACTCAGCCTAAACAGCTTCATCAGTGTGTCTTCAGCCCTAGTTCAGTGGCTCAGGCTGGGCTGTGAAGACCCTGCTGCATGTGGATTCACCTGAGCCACGCTGATGCTACCAGCTTTCAGGTGGGCAGCTGGCCAAGCTGGGCTCGTCAGCGGTTCAGTCCTCTCCTCCGTGGCTTTGCCCAGAGCAGGGTTCTGCCTGGAGCTGCCAAGAAGTGCAGTTCACCCCCACTCCCCACTGAAGTTTCCTCTTCCTAAGGAGGGCACTCAGTGTGTGTGTCTCTGGGCTTCACTCCACTGACAGCCTCAGGGTGCGTGGTGCCCTGATCAGGCCTGGGCACCAGATGCTGCACACGGCCAGGTGCCTGGCCTGGCTGGGTCTCCAGAAGCCATGTGCTATGCCAGACTGTTTCCAGGCGGATGTAGTTATGCCTCAGCGCTATCATCAGACCTGTGCCCTGACTACTGCGGGTTTGTGGGTCTCGCTGGACTAGAGGTGTCTTTGGAGTCTTCCCTGAAAAATCCCATGCTGTTCCTTCCTGCTAGTGGGCACTAGGTCTCTGCTAATGTAGCCTAAGGATACATGGGAACATTTGACTGTAGCATCTTCCTGGAGGTTTGTAAACCTTGTCATCCAAAACCCTGGGTTGTATTCCACATTTGTTGTCAGCCAGCACAACCTTGTACACTGAGACTTGTAAGGATGTTATTGGATCCCAACTCTGTGCTGAGAGCCCTGTGATGGCTCCAGAGCTCCAGATGGTGCCACTGCCTGGGAGCCCTGTTGCTTAGGCTGGTCTCAAAACTTCTGGAAGGCACAAACATTTCCTGGACAACTGCTGTAGGCCCAGCTCGGGGCTAAGTGCTTTATGAACACTTGTATGATGGTTGTGACAATTTCTGACCAGGAGCTAGCCTGTTATTATGGTTGTGGGGTGGTCTGTGAGAGCCAGGCCTCTGCAATTGTGGTGCCCAGCAGCAGCTGAGGCTACTGGGGCTGAGTGATGAGGAGAAGGAACGAGGATTAAGAACCGCACAGTCTGGTTGGGTGTGGTGGCTCATGCCTGTAATCCCAGCATTTTGGGAGGCCGAGGCGGGCGGATCACCTGAGGTCAGGAGTTCGGGACCAGTCTGGTCAAAATGGCAAAACCCCATCTCTACTAGAAATACAAAAATTAGCTGGGCATGGTGGCAGACACTTGTAATCTCAGCTACTCGGGAGGCTGAGGCAGGAGAATCACTTGAACTCAGGAGATACAGATTGCAGTGAGCTGAGATCACGCCACTGCACTCTAGCCTGGGCAATAGAGTAAAACTCGGTCTCAAAAAAAAAAAAAAAAAGAAAGAAATGGCTAGTTGCGGTGGCTCACGCCTGTAATCCCACCACTTTGGGAGGCTGAGGTTGGTGGATCACCTGAGGTCAGGAGTTTGAGACCAGCCTGACCAACATGGTGAAATCCCATCTCTACTATAAAAATGCAACAAAAAATTAGCTGGGTTTCCAGGAGAGCGTCCTGTAATCCCAGCTACTTGGGAAGCTGACGCAGGAGAATCTGTTGAATCTAGGAGGCAGAGGTTGCAGTGAGCCAAGATCATGCCACTATAAACCAGCCTGGGCAACAGAGTGAGACCATCTAAAAAAGGGAAAAAAAAGAAATGGACAGTTCAATGTCCAGCCCCTGCAGGTGTCAGCTGTGTGACTTCTCACCTGGGCAGTTTCTGGAGGAGGGAGCCTGGAATAGGGCCTTGAAGGATGAGTAGAATTGAAAGCAGGGAATGAATGCTGGCTGGGCATGGTGGCTCACGCCTATAATCTCAGCACTTTGGGAGGCCGAGGCAGGTGGATCATGAGGTCAGGCGTTCAAGACCAGCCTGGCCAAGATGGTGAAGCCCTATCTCTACTAAAACTGCAAAAATTAGCCAGGCATGGTGGCGGCACTGTAATCTCAGCTACTTGGAGGCTGAGGCAGGAGAATCGCTTGAACCCAGGTGGCAGAGGTTGCAGTGAGCCAAGATCCTGTCACTGCACTCCAGCTTGGGTGACAGACTGTCTCAAAAAAGAAAAAAAAAAAAAAAAGCAGGAGATGGGAAACAGGCAAGAATGTAAGTGGAGTATGGACAGGTTGGAGAGCTGGAGTG